AACGTCCAGGTGCACTGGGTACAAAAAGCTCGACGTCGCCAAGCTCAAGGACGAAACCACTCTGGTCGCGTTCCGCGATGCCGCGGAGATCGCGATACGGCCGCCGTACGACGCCGCCGAAGAGCCCCCCGACACGTCGTGGCGCGAGCTTCTCGCCGCCTGGTGGCTGCCGCCGACACGACGCTCGGCCACATTGAGACCAAAAGCCGCTACAGGTACGACGACGCCATCCTGGCGTCTCTGGCTCGTGACCAGAAGGCGCTGCGCCTACGCATCGACAACATGAAGACCGCCGCTACCCGAGACCTCCGCATCGAACGCAACCTAGTCATGCATAGGATCCGCATGCGCTGCCGCGACCTTGCCAACGCTGAAGCCGACGCCCTCGTCAAAGAGATCGAAGACTTGAGCCCTACCTCGCAGATGTTCGCTGCCGTCAAGGCCACGCTCCGGCACCCCACGTCCAAGTTTCGCCTCAAGGACCAGCACAGCCACATCATCATGGACACGAAGGAGACAGCCAAACATGTGACCGCTCACTTCCAGGCCCAGTTCGCCAGCTCGACCTACGCCACCGTACAGCCCGACACGACTGCCCGACCGCTCGACCAGCCCATTACGCCCGCCGAACTCCACGACGCGATCAAGAAGCTCCGCAACAACCGCGCCTGCGGCCCAGACACCATGCCAGCCGAAGTCCTCAAGGCCGCCGCCGACCTCATCGCTGCGCCCCTCGCACAGCTGCTCAACGACGGTTTTACCAAAGGACAGCCGATCCAGCTCGGCAACGGGACACTGATCTGCCTGCCCAAGGCCAACAAGCCCCAAGGCGTGTGCTCGAGCCTCCGCCCGATCGTTTTGCTCAACTGCATCTGCAAAGCCGTCTCTGTGATGGTGCTCAAGCGGATCCAGCCGAAGCTCGACAAGCAGATTAGCGCGTATCAGAGCGGCTTTCGTCCTGGACGCAGCACGGCCGACGTCGTTTGGTCGCACAAGTAGCGCGTCACCCGCATCCGCCAGTACGAAGAGCAGTTCTCTATCCTAGGTATCGATTTCTCACGCGCGTTCGACACGATCGACCGCGCGAAGCTCCTCACGGTGCTTCAGAGCTTTCTCGACGATGATGAAGTGCGCCTGGTTCGCGTGCTGCTCACGACCACAACGCTCCGGCTGCGCATCGACGGCAAGTCGCACAGCCCGTTCGAGACCAACATCGGCACGCCACAAGGCGACTCGCTGTCGCCGGCGCTGTTTATTGTGTATCTCGACGCCGCGCTCAAGGACCTCGCGCAGACGCTCGGCGAGGAGAACAACCTACTCGCCCACACGGTCGCCTACGCCGACGACTCGGACTTCATCTGCCACGACGCTGCTGCCATGACCAGGATCAAAGCCGCGGCGCCATCCGTCTTCGCCCGGTGGGACCTCAA